ATGTTTTTGTTCAGCGCAAGACAAGATAACAAATGTATCAACTGGAATTACTGAGTTCTACGAAAGACACATTCTGCACAGTGTTCAAAAGGAATTTTCAGCCATGCCCTCCCATCTCTGGAAATATGGAATTAGCTCTACATTCCATATTTGGTAAACAGTCGTCGAAGTGTACAACCTATGGTCTCATATGTTTGGTTAAACAAAGGGTACTTCTGTACAATCACCCCCGAGGACAGGGTGCAACACATGCGTCAATTGCACAATACCGCAGCGTACATGCAGCTGAGGTAGAGAGCAACCGGAAGTGAGAGGGCGCAAACAAGTAGCGCGTTTGGTTACGGTTGCGTGTTGCTGTCCGTGCGGCAGTACGTGATTCCGGAAGAGGGCATCCGGTATCGTTACCCCCTCACCCTTGCTCCCCTACTTTCTGGGCGCAGGAGGCGTCACGCTCCTGCAGGTGTAAACCCACGTAACCTCGCAAATAGCAAGAACGAGGGCCCATGGAGGTGAGTGTACAGGTTGCTCTTGAGTGATCAATGTTGACTAGACTTTCGACCAGAAATAATATTTTTTAGGAGAACTCACACTTTGTCTCTCTTAGCCATAAACAATCTCAGCACCTGTTGTTGCAGCAGACCCTGAGAAACAGTGAGAAAGGTGGAATTCAACGGAGTCGACGTAACACATCCAGTAACCGTCTCAACAATAGGCTAAGCAGCTCTGCCAGAAAATCCAAAAACAAGTAAAGGAACCAAACCGCTATGTAAAAAGGGGACTCGAAATTAACCTCGTAGTAATACTTGTGATGTTTCACTTTTAGAAACAGATTGAAAACGCATTTCATAAAGGTTTTGTACCTAATCACTATTACTAGTATACTAAATAAACGATTAATTGTACGCTCGTCTAACTATGGGGTCGCTTAGCACACATCCAACTTTGCGGAATGTGAACGGAACTAACCAGGAAAGTCCGCCAACTTACCATTGGAACTTTGAATGGAGACCTGTATCGATGGAGTCTATAAGGTATCCTACTATATATAATCCGCTATGTGTGT